TAGAAACATTCGTATTTAGCCGCACGTCTCTCAATATGACTAAACCGGAATGATTCTAGTTCTAGGTCTTGTGTCAGTTCTAGTGATAGTGCTAGTGCATAACTAGAACTAACACTAGACCGAGAACTAGAAACATTCGGATTTAGCCGCACGTCTCTTAAGACGGCTAAACCCGAATGATTCTAGTTGTAGGTCTTGTGTTAGTTCTAGTGATAGTGCTAGTGCATAACTAACACTAGACCGAGAACTAGAAACATTCGGATTTAGCCGCACGTCTCTTAAGACGGCTAAACCCGAATGATTCTAGTTCTAGGTCTTGTGTTAGTTTTAGTGATAGTGCTAGTATAAAACTAGAACTAACACTAGACCTAGAACTAGAACGTATCGGGTAACTTATTCTAACATTCGTTAGGGTTGCTTCACGCTTTAATTGGAGTTTCAAAAGAAAACTACCTGTCTTAACATTCCTTCACGCTGTAATTAGCGTTTCAAAACAACACTAACCTAACCTAACATTCTTTCCCCTGAATGATTAACACTTCAAAAGAAAACTGAGTTTTCGCAACATTCCTTCCGAGGATGATTGGCATTTGTAAACAAAACTAGCCTTATCCAACATTCTATCTGAAACTGGTCATCATATTGCCGCAGATAATGCAGTACTTAGGCCTCAAGCTGCCTTGGGGTTATCAAATAAAACTGCAGATCTGAACTGTTGATCAGGTGTAGTGGTAGATCTTTTGACGGATTATGCTGCTGGGCTTGAAGAGTGGGTTTTGGGGATGTCGGAATCGTGTAATGCATCTAAGAACAGATTTTTCCGCTCCGTCTAAATGGTATAAGGCTCCTCTAGATGTGTCAGAGATTTTCAGCGGCAGATATTCAACTATCGGCCTGCAGATGCTCTTGTGAATATGAGGGGCGCATTTTGTGAGATGCATATGCCGCGTCCCTGGTATGCTAAGGATCTGAAGAGCTTGAATGGTCGCTTTCATCTTCACCTTGATGGCATGGTCCGAAAATTTTAATGTTCTGTCTATCGAGATTCATAGGTTTTTGCAGATTGTTACGGGAAATATGACCGTGGATTGGATAATTACGCTGGGAGGAGGAATATAAATAGGAAGAAATAGAATGGGTTTTGGAAGGGTTAACTTGGAACCTCCCTTTTTGCAGCGACCTTTCTGTGGATTGGATCAGCGCTTGCAACTTTTGGACTGCAGATACGATGTTTGCGCCGTGTGTCACGAGAGTGACACATGTAGATATCGCAACAAAACAAGTTGTACAATATCAAGAAGAGGGGAGACCCTTGGGGAAGGCCTTACTGAGGGGAAAATTTGCGGGAGAGGTATTTTTTTAATATTTCTAATGAGGAGCGGTTGGAAAGGAATTGGTTAAGGAGGTAAGGCGGGATATTCAATTTATTGAGTTTATATAGGAGTCCCCGATGACACACTGAATCCAACGCTTTACGGATATACAGGCACTGCCAGAATGGCGTTTTTGGAAGCGTGTTACTTAAAAATCAGCACTACAAAAGCATGGGACATCTAAGAAAGAAAAGAAAGTGAAAGAAAAACGTGAAAGCCAAACTGGTAATTTGATATTTTAGTAGAGACGGCTTCCAATAACTTGCTTTTGATGTGAGTTTTTAAGATCTTGCCAATGACGGGAAGAAGAGAGATAGGGCCATAGTTGGATGGGTCAGATAGTGATAATTCTTTTTTGGGAACGCAAATTATAACGAATGACTTTCAATCTTTGCAGAAGTGTTGGTTTATGAGGCAGTAGTTTAAGGTTTTTATAATATAGGCATGAGTGGGAGGATTTAGCTTTCTTAGAATATTTTTTACAACATGTGCAAGTTGTTCCGTTGTTTAGGATGAGGAAGTATTCGTCCTCGTGGATCAGAGCATCTTCGGGAATGTCGGCCTGGGTTAGGTTAACGATTTTTCTTCATTACAACGAAAATTCACAATAAATATACTCCTTGAAATTTTATTATCAAATTTTCATTTTTATAAATCATATATTTTATTATTGTAAAATTCGATTTTCAAAATCTCGTTTCATTTCAGAGATAAATATTTTTAGTCACAATCACACATTCTAACCTAGGTTCGATATTAAATATATGTAAACTTTCTGTACGTTCAACTGATCGTTTATTAAAATATATTTATTTGACCAGTTTCAGCCTAAAAGCCATCCTCAGAGGTAAAAGTCGAATAATTGAAGAAAATAACATTATAATGTTTGATAAACTTGTAAAATGTTTATCAATTTTATAATAAGTGTTTTAATACGTATTATATTGGATTAAAATTCCAATTTTAGAATTAATTAATTCTGGAGTTAAATTTATCAAGCATTATAATGTCATTTTCTTGAATTATTCGACTTTTATCTCTGAAGATGGCTTTTAAGCTGAAACTAGTCAAATAAACATAATTTTTAATACAAACCTTTATTAACGATATTACTGGTAGAATGGATTACGAATTTAACTTTAATCAGATTTTTAAAACAGTCTAATTATCTTAAAAAATACACATATTAGATATACCATATAATTAATAAAAATGAAAGGTAATTAATAAGGCCTACCGAAACCTTAAAGAAATACAGGGTGTTACATTTAAAATAACAAAGTTATGCTTCTTCAAACATTGCATAAATTAATCGCTTCTGGTAAACAGTAAGCCCTGTATAATAACATCCAATAGTATTAGCGATGATGGAAAGACCCAAGCTTTGTTTATCGACATGCTAAATTGCAATCTTCAATATGTAATAATAATGCTGATAACGAATTTTAAGTGATCACGTGAATTTTCAAAAATTTTCGCGAAATAATTAATAACTTGGCAACCTTGCATTCAAGAATTGAAACCAAGATATGCAGTTGTAGCACTTAAGACAGCTAATCAGCATATGTAAAAAGATACAGAGGGTTTCATTTAAAAAGATTAAGTTGAGTACAGTCCTGGAATAGTGAAACAGCCGGTATAGCTGAAAATAATTTTAATGGATGCAGCTTTCATGGTAATATATGATGACATAAAAACATTTTTTTTATTTTCAACAATAAAGCCACTATTTTCCGTCTCTGCACTATTAACTCACCGTAATAAGGAATTCCCACGAGTTTCTGTTATTGCGTGTGCGTTACATGATTTTTATGCACCCATATCAAAATGGAAGGTAAAACACAAAAAATGAAAGAACGAAACGTTAACTCTAGTTCAAACATAGGAAATTTAAAAAAAATTGGTCTCCGGTGAAAATTAGGTGAAGTTGGCTGGTGAATACAATATCGGTCGTGCGACAATAAAATAATAAAAAAAAGTCGTGAAAAAAATTGATGAAAACAATGAAAACAGGAGAATACCCACTTATGGAAGATGCTTAATATTCTTGGTTTCTTGAAGAACATCGCTGTAAGAAGACTCTCACGGGAGATAGTATACGACAAAAAGCTTTAATTTTTTACGAGAAAATCTATAAGAATAAGGAATTTAAAGCAAGTGACGATTGGTTTCAAAAATTTAAGGTAAGATATGGAATTAGAATATTGACCGTAACGGGAGAAAAGCTGTTTTGTAATGAGTCAGCTGTTGCTCCATTTATCGAACAGTTCAGGAAAAACGTGCATGATCTTAATTTAACTCCCGAGTGGGTTGTTCTGGAAAGTGTTACCAAACAAAACATAGTTTCCAGAGAAGAACAAGGAAAGAATTACCCTTATGCAGTTTAAAAATGTAAAGCATTTGTAATCAAAGAAGTATTCGTAGAATGGTTTCATAATGATTTTGTCCCTGAAGTACGACGTTTTTTGAAGAACAAGAATCTTCCGAAACCGCTTCTGCACATGGGCCTAATACAAACACTTTTTTTACCTCCTAATTGCACACCTCTGCTTCAGTTTATGGACCAGAATGTGATCCAAATGATAAAGACTAATTACAAAAAAAATTCTGGTCAATGCTGTTTTGCGAGAAGATGATGTCGTTAAAACGTTAAAAAATATGAATTTAAAAGATGCCGTATTCATCGTGACTGAGGCTTGGAATAGTGTACCTGCCAGAATAATACAATCATCTTGGAAGAAGTTGTGGTCATCATTAAATAACAATGAAGTAGAAGATGAATGGGATTTAGAAGACGAGCTCTCAATTGCAGAGTTGAAGAGTAGCTAAAAAATCAAGAAGAAAAGTCAAACTTCTCAGAGGCAGATATAGTGGTTTGCAGAAGAATCAGGCAACGAAGGAATGATGACTGATGATGAATTAATAAAAGAGGTTGCATCCAAACTTCAAGGGAACTCTGTGAAATCTGAGGACGCATTAAAGGCAATTGATCTCAATATCCTTTGGGCCGAAGACAATAAAGAATCTGCAGATATTCTACTAACACTGACAAAATTGACACAAAATATACTCCATAAAATCTATTATTGTAAACAACACCAGTCTACAATTACCAAATTCCTTGGCTCGTCATTAACAAATAACATGTAAATAACATAATCATTTCTTTTTATAACTATTTTACATTTACTTTCCAATAATAAACGATTTAATACAGTATTGATCATTATTTTGTTTGTTTCTTCGTAAAACTTTTTTCTCGATAATATGCAGTAATCTGGCGCATTCAGTGCCGAACGTGTATTTAAAAAACATAATACATAATATAAAGATAATATATAAAACCATTTTAGCCAAATTTAATTCATACATATCTAATAAAAACAATTTTTTCATGTTAATTAATTGTTAAATATTGCAAAATCGAAATAATGATACAATAAAAAGGTTTACAAAAAGTGATATACGCCCAACGTGGGGCTCGAACCCACGACCCTGAGATTAAGAGTCTCATGCTCTACCGACTGAGCTAGCCGGGCAACTATTCTTATAAATCGAATACTGAAATTTCCCGGAACTTAACATTTTCCTTCAAATGATTTAAAAATAAACTTCCTTCTTTTTTAGCTCATTTAATTTCACGCATTATTACCAACAAGCGCAATTAGGACCAATCGCCGAAGCTACAGTATTAACCTTGGATCCCAAAGATGGAAAGGTTATCGGAAAATGGGGTTCAGACATGTTTTACATGCCACACGGATTAACGCTAGACAAACACGACAATCTGTGGCTCACTGACGTAGCACTACATCAAGCATTCAAGGTAAACTGCAAAAAAGATTATTAATGATAACAAAAATAAATAGTAGCAGAAAAATGTGATAAGATAAAATAGATGACGTTAAATTATATTAAAATTAAATGAGAAATTTATTTTTTATAAATACAGCGATGACCGGTTATAACGAGCACTCGCTATACAGGGTGAGTTTTTTTTCCATGTTTAGTATAGAGATCTTGAAAACTAACGGAGATAGAGAGACGATTAAATAGGGAAAGAATTGCAGTTTCATAATCTCAATTTAATGAGCTTTCTTTTTGGATAAAATGCATGGCTAACTAGATATCTCGAAAAACCCGTTTTTTTGTTATATCGTTAGATACCTATGGCTCCGCTATTATTGATTTTAGGAAGAATGTGTAAAGGAAAAATGTATAGGGTATTACATGTTTAATAAAGCAGTCTAACTGTTTTTTTTATTTAAGCAATAATTTTTGAGTTATGACACAAACGTGTTATTTTTCTAATGGAAACCATAGTTGGCCATAACTTTATAAAAAATTGTTGAATAAGTAGATCCATTCTTTCTTTAACCGTGTGGTAATTAAATAAAATCGAAAATTTTTTTGTTACAACTGGTTTATTTTTAAGTTTAAGTTCAACCTGACATGTTTCGGTCAAATGACCATCATCGGAGGTATCGTAAAAAGATATATGAGAAACAACATACAATAAAATAGAGCAACTGCTGGCAGATGTGTGTGGAAGTATTCTTTGTAGATAGTATCGAGATAACGATCACGATCTTACGATACCTCCGATGATGGTCATTTGACCGAAACATGTCAGGTTGAACTTAAACTTAAAAATAAACCAGTTATAACAAAAAAAATTTTCGATTTTATTTAGTTTTATAAAAAATGCCTTTTCTCAACGATTCTAATGATAATATACCACTTGACATAGATATTTTTATTAATAAATAAATTATAGCCATTTATTCTTTTAATTGGAAAGCTGTTCAGGTAGTATGCTATGGAAACAATTGATAGATACGTTTGGTTATGACAGCTTAAGGCAAATGTATGTTTCGTTTAGTTTCTAAATAACGTTGATTGAGGTTGTGTAAATTATAATCAAAATGAATTTTTGTAATCAATAAGAGCGTGATATTATTGAGTGTTACGTTTTATGCTATAAAACTGCAATACAAGCTGCAGAACAGTATTTTGATCGTCGCTAGCTTTCTCTACCTACTTTGAAGAGGCTGATAATTTGGGCGAGTATGGTTCTTTCTGTAAACCAACTAAAGATACAAGACAAAAGTAAATGTATTAGCACGAATCCATCAAGATGCATCGGTTTCATCACAAGTTACATCTGAAGCAGGCACGTCACAACGTACTGTCGTAAGAGAACTAAAAAAGCATAGATTTCATTCATATGAAATGGCAGTTTCACAAACACTACCACCAGATGACTACAATAAGCTTGTAGAATATTGTACGTGGTTTATTAACATGTGTGAAGCTGATAGCTTAGATTAAAGTTTTGTGGACAGATGAAACACGATTTACAAACTGTGGCATGCTTAATAGACATAATCACCATTTATGGATGCAGGAAAATCAGCACCATGTTCAAGAGAGGAGACCTCAAGTTAAGTTTGGATTTAATGTTTGGTGCGGTGTCATTTGTTCAAGAATTCTTGGTCCGTATATTTTTTATGATACGTTAAACGGAGATCTTTATCTTCACTTTCTACAGAACGAGTTCGATAATATGTTCCATGGATTGCTCCTGCAGACGCGTCATTTGCTTAAATGACGTGCCTGTGATGACCACACTTAATAAGCTAGCGGTACGAAACATGGAAATTTACGTTTGGAAACGTATCTATCAATAGCATATATCAATAGCATCAATATCAATATCTTTCCATAGCATACTACCTGAACAGTTCCGTAGGGCGCGGTAAGGGGGTTGGGTGATAGATGGCGCGCGTAAATTTAAAATTGGTGTCACCTAGCGGTGGAACGTTGAGTGATAAATGGCGCGCGTCTGGGCGTTCTAAATCAAAAGGAATTGAACTGATAGCTGCAAGGAGAAATCTAGAAACTTTAAAGTCAATAAACCACCGAAACCTTTCCAGTTTAATGCAGTTGAACAGAACAAAAAATAAAAAAACAAAAATAAATATTAATTTATTAATTAAAACATAAATTTAATAATACAATTAGATTAATAAACCTCCGCGATACGTTTTGGTAAAAATACGAATAAACCATCCTACAAATCAACAACTGATGGCCATGTAGATGATGTAATCCGCTTCACAGACGTAAATCACATATAATTTATTCACTTCTAATTCAGATATGTTCTTCTTCGGGGCAAATTGATACTGCTCTATAACTGATTTAAACGTGACATACTAGCTTGAGTTGCTTTATAACGTGAGCGAGCGGTGTGAGCAGTAGTAGAAGGTAACAACTGACTTCTATATGAAAATTTTAACCGTTTATACCATCGGGAACAACCTTGAAAAATGTTAGAATGTGTGTTGCACAACAACAACAATNTTGATTTGAAAATACTATTTGTTTGTTTAACATATGTCAAAGCCTAGATTCTTGATTTATTAACTTGGTTTCATTAAATAACTTTACGTTAATAAATTTTGTTATTATTAACTTTATACATTGTATTTCATGTCCATCAATAACATCATCATACGCATGATCTCCAAAAAGATCATAAATATTTTGAGATAAACTTAATAAAATGGAATTAGTTAACTTTAAAAATATGTTTTTGTTATTGAATAATACATTTTGTCGTTAATAGTCTCTAATAATTTTTTCATTAATTAAGTAAAGTTAGACTACAAACTCAGAAGCTTTAGTCAAAACCCCATATGTCTTTTATACCTATAGCATTGAAATAGTTCCTTCTACCATATTTAAACAAAATTGGCAAGTAATATCAGTTTTTAGAAAATAGTAGTTAGGTAGTTAAATGCATGTTCTCTAAGTTCGCAACGTCTGTAATGTCCAGTGTTTCAATTTCAAAATATACCGTATTTTTCGGACTATAAGACGCACCTCAAATTTAGAGACAATTTATTGAAAAAAATATTTTCATGGTACCTTCGGACCATAAAACGCATCCAAAATTGAGTCCATTTTTCTATGCGAAAAAGGTGCGTTTTATAGTCTGAAAAATACGATACTACTAAAATGTTAACTTCGCCAAAGCCAAAACACAAATACGCACACAAACCTTGTTTACTTAGGAGAGAATTATTCAGTTATTAGGGTTCGACAAACATGGATAAACATTAATCAGTTAAATTTATTTTCAAAGAAACCATAAAAAGATTGGCTTGTTCGGAAATACTCGGTGATCGTCGGCCGGACGGTCCGATCTGAGCGCGTTCCGTTCTGGACTGAGTGAAAACGTAAACAAAACACATCGAACGCTGGCTTCAACTCTTGGTGTTTATACATATGTGCTTCTAGTAATACAATTTCTTTAACCTGAACAGTTTGCAAATTAAAAGAATAAATGGCTATAATTTATTTATTAATAAAAATATCCATGTCAAGTGGTATATCATTAGAATCGTTGAGAAAAGGCCTTTTTTATAAAGTTATGGCCAACTATGGTTTCCATTAGAAAAATTACAAGTTTGTGTCATAACTCAAAAATTATTGCTTAAATAAAAAAATCAGTTAGACTGCTTTATTAAACATGTAATACCCTATAAATTTTTCCTTTACACATTCTTCCTAAAATCAATAATAGCGGAGCCATACGTATCTAACGATATAACAAAAAAACGGTTTTTTCGAGATATCTAGTTAGCCATGCATTTGATCCGAAAAACAAAAAGCTCATTAAATTGAGTTCATGAAACTGCAATTCTTTCCTTATTTAATCGTTTCTCTATCTTCGCTAGTTTTTGAGATCTCCATACTAAACATGGAAAAAAACTCACCCGTATAACTAGCCTACCCAGGTACCATCAAAAGTCCTATCCTCACAACGTTAAAAATCTCGGTTATAACGAGAATCGGCTATAACGAACTAATTTTGCATGTTTTGTACCGACTATAACGAGCGGATGAGGTAAAATCCTGCATAAATTGTGATGGTGTGGAAAACCCACGATGCTCGTTATAGCCGATCTTCACTGTATACTTAAGCTAAAAATAAAATTAAGTAATTAAAGTTGCAAAAATAGTGGCCACAGTCCAAGCCATGGTGATTTTGTACGGTAGTACATTTGAAATAAACCTTTTGTAAAATGGCTGGACCTTGTAAATGCTGAACCAGGCTCGATCGGACCACTACAATCACATTTGTGCTAAACAGTCTTTATAAACTCAACAGTCCATTTAATAATCAATAAGTAATTGAAAGTCTTTTTAATTAATAATTTATTAATTACATTACTCCCAACAAAAAAATTACTACAAAATTATTAAAAATTTAGTTTAAAATTATCATCTGTGTAATTCTAATTTATTACTGATAAGATTAAAAAGATAAAATCACTTTTATTAAGATAATGTACGCCTATGTAACCAACTTTGCAGTTGTGTATTTTTAGTTACATCTATTTTATTTTAATTTGTTTAGTTTAGAGCTGGTGAAAATAGTCCCAGTTTAATTTTCGGTCAACGATTCACCCCAGGAGGAGATAAACATCATTTATGTAAACCTACATCAATAGCTGTAGCATCTTCTGGTGAAATATTCATTGCAGACGGTTACTGTAACTCAAGAATTTTAAAATATAACGCTGCCGGTGTTTTATTGAGAGAAATACCAAATCCTCCGGGTAAAAATTCGAATTTAACATTTTGTAAGATATAGTTTATAGAGTTTAATTTTGTCTTTTTAGAATTTTTACCGTTTTTGGTACCACATGCTTTGGCCCTAATTGAATCGATAGATCGCCTTTGCGTTGCGGATAGAGAAAATATGAGGGTTACATGTCCCAGCGCTGGATTATATGGAATTGATGACAAAAGTGTGCAACCTCTTACAATTCAACAGCCCGATATGGGACGAGTTTTTGGGGTGGCAGCAAAAGGTAAATATAATTTATTTGGTAACAATTTGTAAATGTTGTCTAAGATATATAAAATTTGTTTTGTATAATTACCAATATAAAATTTTATCCGTGGCAAACAGTATAGCACACATCTTAATGCAACTAGACCATAAATTTAGTTTTTATGATATTAATTATACTTCAGAAATATTAAGATAGATTTAGAAAGATAGTTTTTCACCCAACTCTATAAAAATTTAGTTACTAATTAAAGTAACTGTAACGCAAAGCAAACCAACTCCGCTCCAAAAGATATCACCCTAATGCATCTCAATGCAATTCCAAAACAAGCCAATCTGAAAGCACCGAAAGAAAAAAAACCATTCCTAAAACAAGTCAACCAAGGCTATTCAAAGCGTTCAAGGTAAGTAATACTTTGAACGCCTAACCCAACTCCTTAACAATTTAACGACAACGTACTCTAACTTCAAGCTAACACAACCTCAATGCAACTCAACAATAAATTAACACAACTGCAAAGCAAACAAAAAGCAAAACCAATCAACTCAATGCACGCCAAGGCAACTCCAAAACAAACTAACCTTAACTAAGCCAACTTCGAAATAATTTAATCAAAGTTGAACGCAATTCAAAGCAGGCCATCCTAAAAGCTAACCAACTCAATTCCAAAGAATCTCGAACAAGTCTCCTCCACAAGCTAATCCAAGTTCAAATAAGTCAACCTAGCTCTGAATCAACGTAACCCAAAAGTAACTCTGCTCAACCCAACCCAACTGCAAAACAACGAACCCTAAAACAAACCAACCCAATTGTAAACCAATCTAACTCCAAAGTTAAATAACCCAATCCCATACCAACTCAATCAAGTCTACACAATAAAGTAACTGGACCCCATAATAACTAATCACATGGTAAATCAGCTTCAAAGTAAGCCAAATTAAATCACAAAGCAGCTCATCCACAAGTTAATGAAATTTCAAATAAATGCAAAGTGAAACAATCCACCACAACTTCAAAGCAACTTAACTCTCAATCACAAAGTAGCTCAAGTTTAAGACAAGCCAAACCAACTTAAGCGCAAACTAACCCATCTCCAAAACCTTATAGCTAGCCAGTCCATTCCCAGAAGAGTAACTCTGGCTGAGAGCCATAAAAGAGCTAAATCATAAATTTCACTTCCAAGCAAGCCAACCCTAAAGCAAACTAGGTAAGAAAAGAAAGGCAAAATCAACGAAGCCAGCTCAATCTCAAAGCAAGTCAACCAGAAATTGGACAAGTTTAAGATAAACCAAACCATCTCAAATGCATAGTAACCATCTCCATAATTACGCAATCTCCAAATAATCACGAAATAATATGTTATACGATACACGTCCGGTAGGTCCTGTAACAGTTTAGATATTCCAGATTCGGCTTCTTCGTTGTCTCGTCCATAATATCACACTCGTACTGTTACAAATCGCCTACCTGACTTATAACGTAATAGTTATTGACGTTCTGGAAAATCTAAACGGGTACTGTTACAAGACTTACCGTACGTGTATCGTATAACATATTATTCCATACAATCGAGTCCGGTTAAACAGCAATTACGGCGTTTACGAAAACATTTACTTATTTCAAAAATTAGAAACGATAGGTATTATATTTTACCTAATTCCATTATGAAAATTAAATTTTACGTCTTTCTGACGTTATGTAACGTCACTTTTTTTATAAGTAGTGATGTAATGATTTCATTACATCACTGGTGATGTAATGAATTCCATTCCCTAACTACAAATTGATAAATTGACAGCTGTCACTAACAAAATAAGTCAAGTTTTGAACAAAAATTGCTTTTTCAATGAAATTAGATAAAATTTTGTACGTAACACGTCATAAACGGCTAATTTTGTTTAACTCAAGTAATTTACTCGCTTTTGGCAAATATTACCATTCGTCAAACAAAATTAGTCTTTTCATAACTGGTTACGTAAATAACTATTGATACCTTTTTTTCTATGGTAACGGTGGTGCTACTGTTTGTTTATATTGAATTTGTAATGAACCAGTCCAGTAATAGTATATTACAGTACAAGTGAGGAAACTATGATTTTTCATTAACGCGTATGTCGGATAGACATACGCGTTAATATATCGTTTTGTTCAAGTCATCATTATTCATAAAATTAATAAATTGATTTTAAATTAATAATTTATACAATTGAAATACTTAATTAACTTTCCACGTGTACTGTCCACCGTTTTTTAGTTAATATCCGTTACGTTTAAACAAAGAGTTGTCCCTTTAAAGGTTTTATATTTAGCTAACAGTGGTTGAAAAAAATTAGAGTGCGTGAAAAAAATTTTCATTGTGATGTCATAGCTCACTTACCGTACTCAAATTGATTATGTAAACATCAATACACCGGACAGTATTGAAACTATAACAACATCAAACATAAATTAATTAATCTACAAAACGATCCAACCCCAAAGCACAAATTCCCCTAACTTATTTGCAGTAACGATCTATTGATTACATCTTTCAGCCTGAGAATTTGATTGAATTTGTGAGTTAGCAAGCGATGTGTGCACTTTAGCGAGCTGACCATATTGAATTCCATTCATTAGAGTGTATTTAGTGTTAGGTACAGTTAGGTTAAAATGTAGCATTCATTTATACAACTTTTCACTAAAAACAAGTAAAATCGATGTGATATTTATGGAAATCTGGCCAATCCTGTTAATTAATTACAATTTTATTAATTAAAACCGAAATTTTGTGGTTTATTAAGTTTGCCAATTTTTTTTCTTTACAACCAAAAATTTGCGAAAAGTTTAAATCTTGAAATATTTTGAAAATCACATTTATTTCGGAGAACATTTTTATTAACAATCACATATTTTAAGATATTTGTACAATTATTGAACATTTTTGAACAAATATTAATGTTGCTTTTTGACGGAAACGGCTTGAAATCACTTTTAGTTATTGAGTCACAATTTTGTAAATTATTATTTGGAATGTTCCAAAATTTCGACAAAAGTCCATTTCATCGAATATAGATTATAATTTATTGTAGTGACCTTTTTTATATAATCTTTTTTCGATAAAACGTGAACGTTTTGCTAATTTTATCAATTGAAAGTGGTTTTTCTCGTCCAATCAATTTAATTAATTTGCATAAACAAGCCCTATCCTGTATTTCGGTAGTCATTTATGACATAACTCAGAATAAATTTGTAATTAAAACGCTATACTTTGAATAATACTGATAACCTAACTTTCACCGTTGAAAAAGACGTTAATACCACATTGGTTTTACGAGGTATAAAGTAATCTGTTTCAAAAATTTTGTAAGGACCTCTGTAACATTCATATAACATAACGCTGTGATTACTAAAGCTGCAGTCATAGACGAGATCCTATCATTATACAAGTCTAAATTAAAAATTTGAATATGAATGAAGCTGGAATATTCCCAAGAATTAAAAACCGAGGTGCTAAAAGAGTTTTAGATAGAGCATACGAAGTTATTATGGAATAGCGGCGGTAGCGATGTAGTAGTGAAATTAACAAATTGTTAGGGAATGTGGGAGAAATTTTCAATGTTAGGCTTACTTCTTTTATTACACGCTTTTGGACGAAGCCAATTATTATATTACTAATTAAATTACGACTTCATTGGCTTCCTAAACGTATAAAACACATTTTTACAAATATCGATCATCCTGTGTATACAAGAATGGAAGGCTTTTAATTTCTTTAACGAAAATTTATAATGAACGCGTTATGCATCCATTTAAAAGCCAAACCAAAAGGGCATAAATAATATTATTCACAAATAATATTCACTCAATAAATAAATGTATTAACTATACTAAAAATGATGGGCCTTGCTGGGTTGGGATGGTCTGAAATCCTCTTCGTATAGGAACAGATGCTTCTTGATTATTTTAAGAATATATTTGATTGAGTAGGTTTTAGTTGTATAGTGGAGGAGTTGGATGTTTGTATGTATCAATTGGAGTTGGAGATGATATACCTTCAATATCGTCACCAACGCAGTCTTTGCTTTGGATAGTTTAGAGATTTTTCAGGTTAGTGATGACGGCGTTTGACCGTGTGGCGTTAAGACCATAATATGACGACGAAGTATGTTTTTCACTATTTAGATTTAGGCCATTGTTTGTGTGCAGAATGTTAATCTTTGGCCTAAGGTGATATCTAGGTATTTTATTCTGGTTTTAAGTGGGAGTGGGGTGTGCGAGATCTTTAAAGACACAGAATATTTTCAATAGGAGAGTAATATTTTTCGAGGAATCACAGGTATGTTTATAGTGAAAAGCTTTACGCTCTGTATGTATTATTATGTAGGTGGCGATTTTTATTTGAAGAAGTTGAAACAGGTCGGTGGTGTAATTAGATTTGAGGAAATTACTGATTCTTGTAGTATTTTGGATTACAAGTTCTCGAAATGAAAGATAGTTATGTGTAAATTTAATGAGGTGGGGAGAGTATAAGGACTATGATGGAAGATGTAGCAGTGGTGAGCCATCCACACGGTATTGTATCCCTTCGAAGTCTAGGGAAAAGAGAGCAATGTATGTTGAGATGTTCGATGGTATCGTTAATGATTCGGATGATTTGTTGTTCGCGTGGAAACCGAATTAATAGTTGGAAACTGCGATGTGTTCTATGGATTGGGATGGTTGAGTCTTTCGAGGATGATTTTTCTACGACCTTGCAGATGGTCGAATGGAAGGAAGGAGTACAGTAACTTGATGAACTGTTAAATCCGTATAAGTACGAAGGCTTTCACGGTCGGTGTGCATTAAACTAAGATTAGAACTAAAACTAGAACTTACACTAGAAACTTTCGGGTTTTGCCGTGCGTCTTTTAATAAAAGGTTTGACGTTTCGGATGCCATGTTGCAACCTTCTTCAGAAACTGGTTCGAAGTGACAGTCAGTCGAAGTGACAGTTCTGAAGAAGGTTGCAACATGGCATCCGAAACATCAAAACTTCTATTAAAAGACGCACGGCAAAACCCGAAAGCTTCTAGTGTTAGTTCTAGTTTTAGTTCTAATCTTAGTTTAATGTTAAATCCGTGTTTGAATGTTGCAGTTTCAAAAGTGTCGTAAGATCCACTTTTGCTTTTCTTGGGGAAGTTTTGGAAAAGAATATTTTTATGGAAGCTGGGGTATTTCGTTCTTGTTGTCATTTAAGAATTGTTGGGTTTGGTTGAAGATTTTGGTTTGCTAAACGTTGATATTAGAACGAAAACGATTTGCGATTGTCAATATTGGAGAGATAGAAGGTTGACCTGGGCAGGATATATGAATTTATAAGACTTTTATAGGACTTCTTGATTTGACGATTTACACAGCAATATTCAATTTAGTCGTTTGAGTTATGGCTACGTTGCAGTTTACAGGTGGAATGTTTTAGGAGTTAGAGCGATGGTGTTGTTTTTTTATGGTTTGGGTAACTATCATGAAGGTAAAGACATTTTTGAGGTGGAGTATAGACTCGAAAACGGGAGTAACTTGAATGAATTGGTAGATAGCTTATCGGACAAGGGTTCAGTTTGTTGATCGATAGCCAGGGATTTTAATGGGTTGTGTTTTAATGTAGGATAGGAATTTGGAGTTTTAGTGGGATGGGTCGATCGGAGATGAGTTCGTCTAATAATATCTATTATTATGGAGATCATTCCGTTCATTAGATAGTGGGTTTAAATAATGGGGACAAAGACGATAGTGTTATGGGCTTGGGTAGGTGTAGTTCTCCTCCACAAGGATAATGCGGGATTTCGTGTTGGAGATGTGGAATGTAAAGGGTGAGCGTTGAGATCGCCGAGAATGAAAACTGTTAGAGGAATTTTAAACCTTCTAGGGTTTAACAATTTAGGGTGGAAATGTGCAAATTTTTTGAGAATTTTAAGATTTTGATGTAGGATGGTGTAACCAGGAAAGGAGACTGTATCAGATGGAATACATTTAGTTCCGTTGATTAGGAAAATGTAACCGTGTGGGTCGGTTTAATAGTTCGTTGGTTTCTGGGGATTTTGAGGTGAGCTGTTTGAGTTGAAGTATAGGATTGTGACTTTGAAATTAAATATTGATGAGATTGTCGTTTATAATTTGGGTTGTTGATTTTGTCCATAAGGTTGGTTTTGTTGAATTATTTTCAAATTCGCTAGGACGTTCCAAGATTTCATTAACGCGGGTGTGGTTGGGCAATGTATTGATGTTGGGGTTTGTTAAGATTACTATTTTGCTTATTGGTGTTCTGGCAGTTGTGACCTACGACCTGAATTCTTCCTTATTTGTAATTATGTCAGCATTCTTCGAGCAAAGTGTTGAACTATGTACTATCTACTTTCGTAGTAAAATTTCCAGTGTGTGGTCTCCCGCATTTTGTGCATGTTGCTGATTAACCACTATAGCGAGTAATATGCCAAATTGACGATTTCTGGTAGCCAAATCGTTAGAGATTGTGTGACCCTACTGCTGATATTTTTTACACTCGTGCAGTTTTTGTGCATTTGACTTCAGTTCATATATTCATGTTCTGCGTTTACACGGATCCATGACACACATTGTGCATGAATCCAGATCCGATGTATCTATGAGTGTGTTTGTGACAATGCTTTTGCTTATGGGTTGATGTGATTTGGAATTCTATTGATATGGATGAGCAAATTTGTTTTCGGTTTTTGAGTCAGGTTTGATGTGTTTTTGTGTAGGGAGTGGCAAATTTATTGTGTGTTGCAATTTTACGAATTTGAAGTATTAGTTCGTATATTTTGCAGGTTTTTTCGACGAGATGATTCAGTCTGGATTGGTTGAAATATGACATTATATGATAATTAGAAAAAAGCAAAAATGAACGCCCCCGGGTGGGCTCGAACCACCAACCTTTCGGTTAACAGCCGAACGCGCTAACCAATTGCGCCACGGAGGCCTTGTTTTTCACATTTCTTAATGTTTTTTACCACATTTATTCTCATTCTTTTTTTTTTATAGGCAACTTGGTTTATGCGGTAAATGGACCAACTTCGCAACTTTTCCCCGTTCAAGGTTTAACCATTGATCCACAATCAGAATCTGTTATTGATCATTGGGCTCCAGAAGAAGTCAGTAAAACATATTTTATTTTAAGCCAGAAATGTTAAAAAAATCTTCTTGTTTTTTGTTGTAGGGGTTTGGAAATCCACATGCACTCGCCGTTTCAACAAATGGGTCAGCTTTATATGTGGTTGAAATTGGACCAAATCGAATTTGGAAATTCGAATTAGTACCACCAAAAAAATAAGCGACTTTTATTTCAACACAGGAAAATAAATGGTTGTTTTAAATTGATTAAAATTAAAAAGATTAAACCGTACCAATAATATATAACCTAAATAATACCAATGTGATAAATTCACAACAAAAATAGAAACAAATTTAATTATTAGAAGTTTTTTGATATCACCGACAATAATTTTTATCTGTTGGTGATAAATGCAGGGTGACTTTTTTATTTTTGCAACAAATATCAAATGAACTTTGAGGCACCAATAAAGAGTCAGCCTGTAAGAGGAAATATAGTGATTTACACACTACATTAATATATACGTTGTATTTTGCAATTTGTTATACTAATTGGTACTAAACAATGTAAAATGAATCGAACAAATCGAATAGTGAGTAGAAGAAAAATATTTTCTTTTGTTTTAATTAATCAAATATCAGAAAATTACTGATTGTATTATCGTATTATTATTCTAACTATTTATAGGATGTTATTAGTAAAACTATTTATTGTTATTTATCTTTATATTTAATTGAAAATTAAAACTTGTAAAACTATGATTTTTAGAGACAATAACGAAAATATAGAATGCTACATAGAATAGGAATTTTATTTTATCTAATTCCTTTAATTTAAATTACAAATTTTCATTTACGTATCTCTAAAAACTAAATGAAATACAAAGCATTTTAATTCAACAAACAAAATTTAGTCTTTCATTTAACTCTGCTTGTTTGAATATTCTGTGAACGAATAGGAATAAAGCAAAGCATACGTCAAATACAAACCTTGATGTCAGACGCATTCTACAGCAAATTTAATCTAGTGTTAATGTACCGTAAATTATTCCTTTGTCTCCATAATACGCGTAGTTCTGATCTTTTTAATACATCTCTGCTTGCTGAAATATTAATAGAAAGGATGAGAATTGAACAAAGTGTATGTCAAACACAAACCAAGATATCAGAATGAGACAACATGCATTATAACTAAAATTTAATCTAGTTTAAGTGAGTCTTATCTATTTCTTTGCATCTTCAAATCTTGTTGTTATGTTAATTTGGATTCAACCCTGCTTGTTTAACAGTTATGGAAATTGTATTGAAAATGAAGGAAATGTTAATAATCATATCTCAAAAAGTGGTTAATGTAAACAATAATGAGATACATTTTAAAGCTAATTTAATATAGTTTTAATGTGTCATAAATTATCCTTTTGTCTCCATAAATCTCGTAGGTTTGATCTCTGTTTTTTTGAATATTAAGTAGAATGGATGGAAATTAAATCAGCAAATATAATTTAGTTTAGATTTAGAAGCCTTAAATTTCTTGTTGAAGTACTTATTGCTATTAGAAAATTTTGCTATAAGTATATTTTATATCAAAACAAAGAGCAACGAATATCCACTAGACAAGGAAATTGTATACTGTGCAAAAGTCAAACATAAATATTACAGAAAAGAAAATATCCCAAAGATACCCACTTTCAATCTGAGACAGAATTTAGTTCGATTTGAACATAATTTCCAGCACATCAGCAATTAGTGGTGTGTATTACTGATAACGTGAAAGATTGAAATTTTAAAACCAATACAAAACATTGCTTTAGAACCAATTTAACAAGATTTGGACATTTTCTCTTCTACATTATTAACGGGCTTAATATACCAGTTAGTGGTGCGTAAGTTCGTCACCGTTTGAAAAGAGAGTTTTAAATCAGCAGATAATGAAAAATAAGGATGCTCGAACGAAACCAAAAAGAAAAAACCTAGGAACATGTCACAACTTAGAAAATGTTAGAAAAACCGGACAAAAGAAAACAAGAATGTAGAATATAGAAAGCGTCAAAATCAAAAAGGATAATAGATGAGTGAAGAAATTAGCAGCAATCCAAAAAACTATTACATACTGTAACTAGAGTTGTCTTTTATAATTATAAGTTCGCATTTGATAAAAGATAAAGTGTGTATTTCTAGATGGTTGCAGTTTCCTTGCTTGGGTTGGGTTGTGGTTAAATGATAAAAAAAGTTGGTATAAGCTGGAAATTTGAAGATGTCAGAAAGGCCAAAAATAAAAGAAAGTGAAAAAAAAAGAAGAAGTTTAAATCAGAACACAACAAAATTTGATGTTTTGAGAGAGTCCAGAAAGAAAAGAAACAACTCTAAGTCTAACTAGAAGGAAACGAGAATAAAACGAAGTACATGACAATTAAAGAGCTGGAGCGTCGTAACAAGGAAAGACAACGTTAAGAGTGTTTCAACGAAAGGAAATCTTAGTAAGATTTTCGGCCCAGGAGGACGACTGTAGCTGGAGAATCAGGATAAACCACAAGCTGGATAACATGATAGGGGGCTTTTATAAAAGCCACTATATTTTATAAAGGCACAGCGCCTACGATGGCTGACATCTATACAGGATCGAACAAGGCAGATGCGCTAGAGTGCTGACTGAATGGAAATCGTGTTGAACGATGGAGAGAGGTTGCCGAGTACAGATGTAGATGGGGTGAGATAGTAAGGGAGGCCAAAACTCTCATAGGATTGCGGAGCCAAAGGAAGAAATAGAAGTGTCAGATTTCTAGATGATGCAAGTCTACAAGCGGGTAACCTTTTCATCTACATCTACATGATGGAATTTATAGTCAAATGTACCATTCATCATTGCATGCCGCTACTAACTAAACCTAATTATAACTAAACAAAACACAAAGCGGGAAGCCAAAAATATCTAAATTTTTGTGTTTTTTTAATTTGATCTTATACAAAATTAAAGTTAACGGTGTATAATATTAATCACATGTTTGATCACGTCATATGATCGCACTAGACATGCCGAGGTACTTAAACGCTTCGCGACAAATTTAGAATATTCTAGAAGATCCTGCGGGAGGTATATAAACAAACATTATCTGCTCGATATAGATGGCTAACTTATAATTCAAGCCTAGTGAAATTAAACGCAACCCTTTATATCAATAAATAAGAAACACTGATATAAAGTGATAAATAGGTACTTTTGCGATTTTTTGTTTTTGTAGTTTTGGTAGGGGACTAATTTTAGAACAGTAATAAACGTTATAATGCAGCTGAAGAAAGTACTGTCAACCAGTGGCACTAGTGTGATGAAACGAAAATATCATAAATGCGATGCTATGGTTATTTAGAGTTTGGTTTTATATCAACAGAAATTAATGGTGAAAAGAGACTCCAATAGGAATTGTGTATACAACTTTTGACAACGGAGTGTATGCTTCCTAGTTAATTGAAACACCATTTAGAAACTTCCATTTAGAATCATAACATGGTTCGTAAAAACCAAACCATGCATCTTACAAGAAGCTTTAAAAAATCGAGAAATGTAAGAAGTTCCATGCCGTAGCAAAAGAACTTATTCTGTAGATACTATAGACATGGTAAGTATCACGATTGGTGAGTCTAGTGGGAAGCTGCTTTTAAATGTGTCCAATAACACACTTAGTTGGAAAACAAATAAAAAATGAAAGAAGTTGTCTTTTAGTTAAATGAGACTATAGATCATATTAAGCATCCTCATTTCACATGCTATTTGCGATAGATATCTGTCAATATGTCAGTTCATTATAACAAAGCTAAGATCGGAGACCATCTTCCTCAAATACTGACTCAAGTACCTTTAGCTTGGTACCTGGAAAAAGAAAACATAAAACGATTAAACGCCGCAACTTTACGATGAGAAATATTGAAAGATTCAAAGTCTTGCTGACAGATTGTGACTGGTCTTACATAGCAAATGCAAATGCACAAAATAGCTACACATATTTCCACGCTAACTACCTACACTGGTACAATTGAGCTTATCCTGAAATCATAACAAAAGAGACAAAAATGAAAGTTCTGAGAATAAGATCGCAGCCGCTTGAAAGCTTGTAAAGAAAGAATGCGGAAAAGGTGAAAATAAATCGCAAAAGCCCTCTAACTTAGACATAAACGTTTTGAATGACACATTCGTAAACTGCAGGCAATTAGACTCTAGCAACAATTCGAATAATACAAATTCATTTCTACTATCGAAACAGAAACAAACAAATACATCGCTTAATCAGATTACGGACTTAGAGGAAGAGGAACTGCTACAAATAGTAAAAGACCTGAAAAAAACGAGTACATTATATATATACGGATTATCAACAAAACTCTTAAAAGAACTAATAACTTGTGTTTCTAAACAACTAACATTTTCAATAAATGTATCAAAGAGGGAATTTTTCCAGAAGAACTAAAATACGGGAAAATTATACCAATACAGAAACCTGGAGATCCCAATGACCTGAATAATTACCGTCCAATCTCTGTCCTACCTACAATGTCCAATATGTTGGAAATTGTCATAAAGAAGAGCTTACTTAATTATCTGACTTATGAAAACTTATTAATGACTTACCAACACGGTTATCAACCAGGTAAATCCACAAACACGGCACTGCTTAATGTATTACAAGTGATCATAAGAGGTTTTGATGCACAAAAATATACTCAAATCGTCTTTTGTGACCTTAGCAAGGCTTTTGATCTTGTAAATTATGACATTCTTAGTAAGAAATTGAATAAATACGGAATAAGAGATGAGGCCCTTAACCTGCTAGTTTCATATCTGGATCAGCGACTGAATCACCACTGGAAAGGTGAAATATCGGAGTGGAAGAGAGTCGAAATAGGAGTTCTGCAAGGTTCGGTTCTTGGACGGATTCTTTTTTGATCTACATAAACGATCTGCCGGATTTTGTAGCATCGGATTCACTCTGTCTTTATGCGGACGACACTTCCTTCATAAACGTGGAAAAGGATAATGAAAAACTTCAGAAAAAAACAAGTACAACAATGGTTGAGGCAGAAAAGTGGTTCAACTCGAACAAATTACAATTAAATAAAAGTAAAACTAAGTTACTCACGTTTTATACGAAAACTACTGATCACGTTACAAATCAAAAGACCAAATTCCTTGGCGTGGTGTTTACGAAAACCTTGGGTTGGTCAGAGCACATATCTCAGCTTAGAAAGAAACTAGCAACTCCAATTTATTGTTTGAAAGTAATGGTAAAAAACTTACCATCGACTGCATCACGAAATATGTATTTCGCATACTTCCACAACATGGCGGTGTATGGCATAGCAATATGGGGTGGTTCCAGTGACCTAAAAGAAGTTTTCAAGCTACAAAAGAAAGCGATAAGAACGCTAGTAGGTCTAAAACAAAATCAGAGTTGTAGAGGTCATTTTAAAACTCTAAAAATACCGACATTACCATCCTGATATACAGGGTGTCCCGCAACGATTGTACAATACTGCATCAGCGTATTCTCTGATCGAAAACAGACAACAAAAGTCTAATAAACATAGGTCCGAAAATGGACCAATTTCGAGATATTCAAAGTTTTAGTTTCATAAGCTGACCTATTGTAAACATCATTAATTCTAACGATGTAGATGCAGTAATTATATGATTACCATGGTTACGATGGTTAAGATAAAGTTTAATAAATAATAAGATAATATTAAGTTAATTAATACAGTTCATTAATAATTTAACAAAACAAGTAACAAAGATTGTCGAAGAAAATCGTTC